ACTGAACTTGCTGCGTAAAATTTAAAAATTTTCCGTTGCATTTCTCAGAGCCACTAATATAAAATTATAATTCTTTTGAAACCTGCGTAAAGAAATCGAGTATTACGAACATATTCATTGCCCTCAACTTTGATCGTTGCGTAAGTGTTTACCGTGCCGTTCGGTGTCAAAAGGTCCAACGAATAGATCGGACATCTCGTGCCATTTTTGCCGATAACAACTAATCCAGTGGATCCTTCAATTGCAATTCGACTGCATTTCTTTGGGAACCGAACAAAATCCGCATAGATACTATAAATTCTCGATTTCAACACAAACCATTGAATGTTCCGATGGCATGGTCAATCAGTTTGACGCCTGACCGCCAGCCGTTTACAGGATCGGCCGTTAACGACCTATTTAACGCTAGTCCATACAAGTACATTGCATCGTAAAGAGTTCCTGAGTATTGAGCTGCCTGTAAGTTGCACTCATCAATTGCTCGCAACAATTCTCTGCTAATGTGTCACGATCAGGAACTGACGATTTACATTCCAGACAAATTGCATTCATTCGCATTTACACAGTTGAATTGGTCGACGAATTATTACGAAAATTGCATGGCTGAGTTAAAAATGCTAATAGTAAGGCAATCAATGAAGGTGACGCTTGAAAGTGACGACTTCTGAGAATTGCGCTCTTAATAGGTCAACGAATCTCACTGAGCATTACAGCATCTCTTTATGATGATCAAAATAGATGATTCATTAATATCTGCATCTACACATCCATTTCAGCTCGTTCTTGAAGTGCTGAGAAAAAGTAACCGTAACATTAGTAGGGCAATCAGTTGTACAGTAGAAAGGATAGTCCTTCATGGTGTCTATGACCTCCTTCGAAAACTTAACTGTCATACGGTCAGAGTGATTATCCAGCTGAAAAACCAGTTTATTCACAGTTAGTCCATGACTTAACAAAATCCGAAAACGGATGGTGCATGGTATCGCATATTGTTGATAGCTTTATGAAATTGCGGTTCAGTGAATGATCGGACGAGAAAGTGATTGTCGACTGCTTCCGATAATAATGCTTACTGAGATGGATCAGAAAAAGCTCGGGTGTTTTCGAGGATACTGATCCGGTGTTTGCAGGATAATTTTCGGATTCGAAGTCAGTGGATCATAAGAGTTGAGGCGACCTACTAATATGGCATATTTGAAAGTGTCAATAACGCTTTGATTGTATCCCGACACCTTGAGCGAAACGGTATCGTCGCTTAAATCGTAACCGCCAATTCCTTCAAGATTCATATTTTTACGGTCACTATTATCGGTTTCATCATACATCAGTGTCCTCCCTATCGCTATCATTATTTTCAATCCAGTTCTTATCTTCATCACTAGTTTTTTACTTGTTAACTATTAAAGTTAATATAACCTAATCCAGTATTGTCTACGTCCGGGAAAATGTAGACGTATTCGGCAGTTGCCATTCCCATTCTGTTGGCAGTCTCCATGAACATCGTCTTTTGCTCGTTTCTTATGAAGCACGTTATAACAACTGCAAATTTTAGCGATCAATTCCAAACTGTTGAATCCGATCGATGAAATCACGACCAATGAAATTCGAAGAAGCATTCATAATCATCTTTCAGTGCCTCTCAAAATGACATAGGTTACACTTTATATGGTCAGCTTAATCGCTAAAATAGTTTGATTCGTATCAGAAATCGTTTTCTCAATCGAGATCAGCTATTTTTGCATATTATTTCATGGATTCTTTCAGTGAAGTCTCGATGCGTTGTACCACTTCTTGCACTATGAACACAGCTACGCACTTCGAGCGCGATGGCGTAAGTCCATGAGAACATCCGTAAAGTTGAGGACATTCAGTGGTAAAACGTGACTGTAGACCAGCGTCAGCGAACCAAATAACGCGACAGCACTCTTAAAATGATATATATGGCTTGCAGAGAACAGTCTGCAGTTGAACCTTGCAAATTCTTGCCGTACCACATCCAAACTTCCAGTTACTTGCTCAGTTGCGCTCATTCACCAACTTTGGTTGAGAACCTTCTTTGCAGTTTGCAGCATCAAATTTGCATGAGTAATAATTCCGTAGTTTTTCGCTCTCGATGATAGGCTCGTAATTAGAATTTGATAAAAATGACCTCGAGATCCTGTTGAAGATAGTGACAGTTACTAGTGCTTGATGTTGAGGCCGTATAAATGAATGCGAATGAAGTCCAATTGTATTCCCGCAAAATGGAGCACATAGCTATACCAAGGCTGAAGTTAAATGCTTCAGTATTAAACTAAAGTAGAGTGGCAAAGGAAGCGAAAATCAAGAGTGAAATGGACTCGCATTACAGCCTATATCATCCTTATAAATCTAGGCTACCAAATGAATGTATTTGAGAGGCAAAATCTATTCGAAAACTGAGGAGAGGTCTGAAAGTCAATCAAAATTCAGCCAAAAGACTAGAAGCAGCACTGAAACAACAAACGAGAATGAATCTGCCGTCACGGTGGCAACGGTCGGGAATCTCGTCAGGTCACTGAGCTCTGCGGCAGTCGTAGGACCCCAAAGAAAGTTCGGAGTATCATAAAAAGCAGTCAAAATGCCGACATCAATCGCAGCTGAAAATTTGCCCATTTAGTGATTTATTTGAATTTCAGAATTCATCCACTGCATTATTCGTGCAGAAACTGTGAACTGATCGGTTTCTGCTCAGAATCGCAGCGTAACTCAAATTTCTTGATCAGTCAATTTCGAGAATATCTGAAAAGTTCACAAACGCTTTTTGAGAATTTCTGATCACTTGATTCGTTGATCATTTCCCATTTTCACGTGAACACTAATGATTGACGTTGCTTTGAGTAAAACCGTATGAAGCAGCTTGTCAGTAATTACACCGAATAACTCACGTGCATTGCAAGGTGGTCCAAAAAGAGCACTGACGTTATCGTTGAGAATCAAGCTGACCGCATAGCCCAGTGCCTTATGCTCGTTGCACTCTTCATACTTCCATAGGAAACTGAATTTATGAATCCTAATTAACGAATTATCATAGAAATTGGCAAGAGCAAATTTGATCATCATACGAGCAGGACGAAAGTAAATGGAATCAACAGGGATTTTGTGTTTATCCAAGTCTCCAAATTGAGCGATGCTCCCGTATGAATTCGCAATGATGATTTATGAATGATAGCAGGTTACAGAGCCTAATGGTCGAAGGAGGTCGTGAGTCGAGTGTGAAATTGGCTGTATTTTTTGGTTTTGATTGGGTGTAGATATTTATGACCTGAACTCATGACTGGACTGGTTTGGGTGACTCGACGGAGCCTGGATAAGGGTTAGCCAGTAGCAAATAAAATTTGTTCAGCATACGTGAAATTCACATCGTTGAGTAGGTTTTCGCGTGAGATTCTATCCACAGCCAGCATTACCGCAGACGCCGAGCGTGTGTATCCATCCAGAGGTATTAGTTTGGGTGAATACCGCGGAATAAGCATACCAACTTTGAGGTGGTATTTGGGCTAAACAACTGAGATTCAAACAACGTTTTCACGCAAATGATTCCCATAAGCTTAACAATTCTTTATTGTTAGACTTACGTTTGGTGAGAATTCTGCCTTTGTTGTTAAATAGAGCAACGCAGAGAGTAGCGTGAACCAGACTAGTGGCAGAGCCATGCTCTGTGTGTTCATTGTCATATTGCGATCACTTCGTGGAAGCTGAACAATGAGCCAACAGCGCACCCATAGAAGTTCAGGTAGAACTAGACTCGGTTACGACAGCCAGTCGAATGCCGAGCTTGGCCTAGGAGTCACTGAACAAATTGCCGAAACTGTCGACTATCGAAAATATATTCGATCAGCGAGCCGCGGCGAGCTCCAATCGCCCGTACCGAAAATTGCGGAGATCCGTCGAACACCGGAACCAATTTTGGTGGCCCGGTATTGGATTTCTCGATAAGCTGAGCAGGCACAGAAAAATCTACGCACTCTATATCTATCGACCCTCAGGATCAAATTTTGAGCATCCAGCGGTGCAAAGTTTGATGGACACTTTGAAGTGGAAAAAAACACTTATTCAAGTGATGGTGCATTTTTTTGGGCTAATTTCACCGAAAAGAGCTGAATCAAAAAAATGTCGGCAACTTTTCGGTGTAATGGTTCCATTTGCTAAAGTTGATTCGTAGCTTAATGATGAATGATTTCATTACACAGCCGAACTCAATAAATTTGATAAGAATATTGATAACTATCTTATGCAATTGATACGATTCAGTAATGTTGGGATATAAAGCGCTGTGTGCTCAACACTTTCAGATATTATTACTGTTTGATTTTTGTTTTTAATTGAGCGGTGTCAGCAGCACTTAAAATATCTATAGTTTTGGCAGAATTCCTGGAGAGGCAGTTTCGTTTTAACCATGAAATCGTGCCCTAAATCTAACTTGTCCAGCTAGTGGCATCGATGTACAGACTTTGTTAAATATTACGCTTGAACAAATCAATTCAGTTCCATACGGTACTATTAAAATTATACCAACACTGTTATAAACTTCAAAACTAACTCAAAATAATGTCTGCTTACGAACATATCGAACACAAAATTCTTATCGAAGCAACCTGTTGCAGTACGAATGAACTAAATCCAACGCAGCGAAAGAAACCGCAAATTTGTAGGTGAACAATCGTACGCACTGAACACAGCAACTCAAAGCTACTTGAAAGATTCTGCATTCCGTTTTAATTCGAGAAATAGTCGAATTAACTCAGAATGGCTTCAGTCAAATTGTTGTCACTACAGAATGCTGATTTGAGAATCCTTACAGCAATAGTAAAGACCTTGAAATTGCGCCGTTTCGCAGAATGACAACTTTGAAGACGATTTAAAATGGAGGAAATTTTCAAGTTGGGAATTGCACGCTTGTGAATTCAAGGTTGAAAAATCACCGCAATCCACTTGAGAAGTTTTCTCGTATCCTCCGAAAGCTTTTCGTTATGAAATTCCCTTGCATTGCGGTTATTTGAATCAAACGTAAACGAGCACGAAATAGACCATTTATTCAGTACGGTTATACGACCTGCTGTTGCATAATCGCTTCATTTTCAAATAATTTTTGATGAATTTTTTCCTTCAGTTGTCGATTTCAGATCGCAGTCGGTCACATCTTACTAAGTCGCTTACACTAGCTGCTTCAGTTTTTGCTTGTTGTTTCGTCACGTTCAACGAATTTCTTGTAGATACTCGTTTCAGGAGCGCTTATCAAGGTATGTCCTTCATGACCAAGTAACCAGAACGTCTCCATTACACCTTTACCCTTAAAATACACTTCGCTATAGAACCTACCGTCAAAATTTATAATTGAATGATACGTATGAATGGTGCATATAAATTATGCGTTTTCTTGAATGCTGTATTTGCAGGTGACTGGAAACATCGTCAGTTGGGAACAATTGAGTATTTCGTTATTACTTCTCATTGTAAGAGACACTTTCATTATAGCGACATTCGAGCTGATCGCTGTACGGATCAATCATTTTTACTTGAACGAATCGGTTCATGGCATACAAATGAGCGATGATCGAATAATTTGGCATACCTTTATGATGACTTCGCCTCGACTCACAGTTTCAAAACCACCCAAGACTTGTGTGAGAAAACGATTTGCTTCACCAGATAGATGAATTTGTCCAGCTGCAGCAAATTTCATTCAAGCGAACAGCTGTCTACTGCATTACTTTGGTGCTATTTCAAATCGGGTTCTTCGTATATCTCACACACGCTCAGATATTTAGATAATATTTTGGTGATTATGGTGATTAAACGAAAACCTATGTGATGAGAGGTGAAGTTTCAAATGATTCCGTTCAATTCATTTAAGATTAAACTGAAGGAATTCCAACAGAAGAGTGATGTTAAAGGATTTCAGCTTTTCTGTGCATTTTTGTTACACTCACTATTGGCTTCTTTGATGATCTCAAATAGCATGGAGAGTAAGGACGACTTCTTCATGAATACATCTCTTCATCGAAATATGTTTTACATTCAGATTTGGTTGCTAAGAAGAAAGGATTTCTTATCCTGTCATCCCAAAGCAGCGAAACCTATGAATTGTACTCGTAGGATTGCTTAATTAATTTCGACTCAAGAACAGCTTGGCGTTATCTAGTCCGTCTATATAACAGAATTACTTCTTCATAATAACAACGGAATGTCGTGACCAAATACAGCACTCACGTTTTCCGTTGCTTTCCATGCGGGAGGCCGTATTTACAGTATCGCCGAATAGACAATAACGTGGCATTGTTAAACCAACGACGCCAGCAACACACGGACCTGAAATTTCGTCTTAAAAAGTAAATCAATGATCAAATGCACCTATTACTTCTTCAGCAACACATCTCCTCTGTTGAGACATTAGCAAAGGATTAGGATATCGGAATGCATATCACTATCACAGTTATTTGATGGCTCGCAATTGCAACACGTGAATGGCCTCCTCTCGTGACACGCTGAAGAGAGTAACTTACACAGTGATTGCAATTTGTACATGGTCCATTGGCTTCTTTCATGATCTTTGACAGCTTTGATATAGAGTCTATGGGCGATCTCTTCATAGAAAAANAAAAATATTCCATAGTCAGATTTGTTTTTCAAGATGAAAGGATTTCTCATCTTAACATACCCAAGCAATGAAACCTTCGAATTGTAGTCGGACGATTATGTGAAATTAGGTTAATTATTTTCGATCCAAAAACAAATTAAATACATGTAATATTATCGCAACGTTTGCCAGAGGTCCTTATGAAAGTCTCATATAAATTATGAAAGTCAGTCTCTCTCCCAAACAGAAATCTTGTGGAGTGCTCAAAGTACTTATATAATTTGGATTTTTGAAAGCACTCATATATATTTTCACCGAATCAATTTACCGGTATGAATGCCCACTCGAATATTGATACGTTCATCGGGCATTTGTGCGATTCGAAATGTGCGAAGGCTGTCGATGAATTCCAACGCCATATTTGCAATCTCGCGCGCATGTTCATTACCGTTGCGTTTTGGTAAGCCAGATACGCACAAATAGCCATCACCAATGGTCTCAACCTGAATTTGATTTCACTTCATTCCTACAAGTGTCTTCTTATGCGCTTTCATCCACTTATCATAGGAAATTCAAGGATTATAGCCGAAAATTCACCTTATAAACGTCATGCGCATCAATGATTCCGTCGAAATTGGTATAGAGATCGTTAAGGAGAGTGACAACCTAAAATCAAAGTGCTTTTAATAAACAAGCATGGCTGTGGAATCTAGTAAAGTGAGGCTTCGTTTCACGATCAATGTCGGTTACAGAACAAATCAGTTCGACTTCGAGTCATGTAAATTCACGAATAAATTGTTCATGAGTATCGACGCTAAACTGTAATTTACATGCAGCTGATATCAAAGGATATAAGGTGAACAGAGAATCACTTCATAGGGTTCGATGTGTC